CTTCCTCCTGGTGCTACTTAGCCTGTTCCTCCGTTCCCTGTGTTTCTGGGAAACAGATAGCCAGATGTCAAGACCTGAGCAGAGTCATTTTTAATCTTGGCCTAGAAGTCTTTGTAGATGGTATTGTGTTCCCCTTGTTGAATCATACCTAAATGTCTGCTCGTCTCTTCTTTAATGATGTTAAGATTGATCTGTGGCTCTCCCTGTCCTTAATTAACTCCTACTCTCATCTCTGTTTCCACTGCTATATGAACTTGTTTTGCAAAACAAGTCAGTTAAGCTTATTGATCATTTTGAGCAGAAGTGGGAGCAGCAAGGGCTAAAAGCAAACACAGTGATTTAAAGCACCAGCCCAGGTGAGCAGCATTATCTGTGCTGCTCAGTTCTCTTGAATGTAAGATGGGATTCATAATAATAACTGACAACTAATAACTGAGATAGATGTTTTGTGCATAAACATCAGCACACAACTTTTGTGCTTAGAGTACAATTATTCACATATCTTCCAACAATCTCATGGAGCGTGTGCAAGTATTAGTTGTATAATACAAACTATGAAGAGGAGAGACACAGACAGGGTAGGGAACTTTTTTAAGGCTGCACAGCTAGTAAAGGGCCGAGCTAGGATTTGAACCCGGACAATTAGGTTCAGAACCTGTGCATGTAAAACACAATGCTGTGTGGCATACAGCATATTAAAGGGAATTCTCTATGCTCCTTCACTCCGGGTGTTTATTGAGCCCTCACCAGGAATGGGCACCAGTTAATCTTACCTGAAGGTGAGCACAGGCTAGAGTATGGGGCCCCAGTTACATAGTTCACTCAGGGTGCCCGTCTCTCTCCTGTCTTCTGTTGGATGGGCCAGAGCTTAATAGCTTACATGCTAGAAGGGGAGCTGGAGAACATAAATTTCCACCCTCATTTGGGTGAGATTTTACTTCTAAACCAAAAAACTTACCTGAATTTCTGAAGTTAAATGGCTTGCCCAAGATCACACAGGAAGTTTTCTACTGAGCTAGGATTAGAACCTCAGACTCTCTGGCTTGGGCAATTGTGTCTGGATGCCCTGCCTCTCCCACACCCAGAGAGAGATCTGTCCTTTTACCTCCCACCCTAAACTCCTCCGAGTCAGGTTCATTTTGGCCAGAACACCTCTGGAGGCAGAAATGGACAAATATCCCTTCTGAAGTCACTGCAGCACTTCAGGACTTGCCTGGCATGTCAGAGGCATCTGCTTCTTGTCACTGCTGTAGAAGTATGGGTCTGATGACTTCACACTCCTGAAGGCATTCTGAGAACTTACTCTCCTGTCTCCTGTTCTCATAATGGAACCAAAATCAAATAAATGTGCAGAGCCAGGATTTGAAACTAGTACTTTTGATTCCAAGTTCTGAAAGGGCCAGGAATAAAAGTAAGCTCATGATTATCAGTGCCAGTATATCTGCCACGACATAGCCTTGTATTCCAGATGAGGGAAGTGAGGCTCAGAGAGGAGCAGTAACTTAATGAGTTTATACAGCTGCAGCCCTGTGCAGGCTGCTGCAAAGGGGCCAAGTTGCTCCTCCTGTGACTCAGGAAGTTCAAAGAGAGGTTTCCAGTGGGACTTACACCTATATTCAAACACAGAGGGCACCTGGTTGGAGAGCTCAGGATGCTCCAGCTGGAGGCTGGGGTCTTTCTGAGCCAAGTGAACCAGCCCATTGCCTGTGGCCCAGCCCATCTGATTACAAAGGCCAAGACAATAATTGAAGGTGGCTTTGGGTTCCCTGGGTAGGAGCTGGCGCCAAAGCTCAGGGGCTCTGTTGGCGCCTTTAGCCCTGGGCATTCGCTAATGGACTGTGGCTGATCCCAGGACTGATTGGCAGCCGGCCACAAGGTCCTCAGGGAAATCCTGGAAACTGTGGTCTCCAACTTGAAGACGCTGTTCCTTCTGGGAGCCAGAGGATAGGGATGGGGGGGTATGTTGTTGGTCCAAGACAGAAGTGCTTTGGAGCCAATGAGTGAGATGAACTGAGACCTTCTGCCTCTAGTCACCTGGCTGGGACATGACTTGAGGGTCCTGGACAGTGAAATACAGCAAGCTGTCAAAATGCTGACCTCTTATTTTCTCTTTCCACTGCCTCTTTATCCTGTCTCTTGGGCTGGCCAGTACCCTGGCCCCTGCCAGATTGATAGTGGGACCAGTAAAAGTGCTCAAAGTTGTTCCCAACATATTGGGCAAGGAGTGACCCTGAGACCAGCCAGGCCATGATAGATGAAAGAAGAATTAACCTTTTTGGAGATCTCTGAGCCTAAGGACTCCCTGACTGTCTGAGAAGGGCTTTTCAGGCCCAGGGCCCAGTGTAAGTGCAGAGGCAAAAATGAACATGAAACAAATAGCACGGGGGAGCCAGAAGGCAGAGCGTGGGGGAGGGCTGGGCCAAGGGAGAGGCTAGAATGGCAGAGCTTGAAAGCAATCACAGAATTTTCAGACCTTACTTGGTTGGTAGTTGGGATCTATTGAAGACTTTAAAGTGAGGGCAGAAGAGGGGCACCTGGTATCTGCCGAGAATCATGGCTCATTTTAGATCGCATTAGGCAGGGCAAATGGCAAGTGCGAACCTGCATCTGACCTTTTCCTAGGACATTTGATACTCATGCGCTTTGTGCATCACCCCAATTTTATTCATTTGCCCGAAGAGTGAGAAAAAGGCGCTTTAGGAAACTGCTATAAATCCAGAGCAAGTCACCATGGTAACCTGATTAGCAGCTAAATTAAGTTCATGATTAAGAAGAAATAAATAAAAATAACTCTTCTTTGGTTGGGGCTACCCACCGGGCCACTGGCAGCTGAGCAGATGCTCGAGCTTTGCAAAGTTGGGGTACCAGAGTGGCCTGGGCCCTTTAGAGGGCTTTGGCTAGTGTGCACCAACTCACAGTAGCTAAGGATAGAGAAGCGCACCGCCTGGGGGTTGATGAGGCCCCTGGTGGTCATGCTGGGGAGTGCAGCTGCACTTGTAAAACCCAAAGCAATAGATTTATTCACAAGGATCCCAAACCCTCCTCACCGTGTCGCGTTGAAGAGTACACTGGCCTTCCTTTGTCTGACTATCCTGTCCTTGCATTTCCAGGCCCCTTTGTTCTTGATGCCCGGGACCCCAGAGTGACTTAGACTTGGTTTTGGTCTTAGAAAGGCTGAATTTGGTGGTAGACGGAGGTAATTGGAGGTAATTCGTCATTAGGCACAGTGTATATAAGGTGCTATGGAAACATGGGCCAGTTGGGGAGACTTCTGCTTGGAGTTAGCCAGTAGCTGATGGAATGAGCTGACTGCGAGCCCCAAAGGGCACTCTTGGGGGACGTGCAGTTAACAAAGCCAGGGAGGAGGCACTTTGAGTGCACAGAGAGACATGAACCTCTTAGGTTCCTTCTCAGCCCCTCCCCCAGCCAGAGCAGTCTAGAGCAATGCAAAAGTCAAACAGGCTTTGATTCCACTCTCTGCCACTTGGTAGTTTTGGCCTCTGGTGAGTGATTTAACTTATGCGATCTTTAGCCTCACTATCTATGAAAAATTTAACTAATCTAACATGGCACAATTTAAAATACCAAAGTATGAGAACAACATTGGACCAAAGGAAAACTTAAGCTAGACACAGGAGTCAGTGGCACTCAGTTTTGTTTTGGTTTTGACTGAGCATCTATTATGCCCAAGGACTTCTGCAGGGCTGAATACTAAGAATGGACTGAAGGACTGATGAGAGATTACCTTCTAATAGGAACAGATTTTTTTTTGGCTAGGCTGTGATCAGTGCATCAAAAGATACATTACATGTTCATGGGACAGTGTACACACAAACACACACACACACACACACACACACACACACACACACACACACACACAGAGGGAATAGGACCCAGGGAAGGACTGGCATCATAGATTGCCAAACCCTAAGAACCTGTGTGACCTGCTGCAGGATCTCATTTCTCCCCCTCCCACAGAACTCTTCTCCAGAGTCTACCCTTGTTCCTGTGCAGAGACATATATGCAGAGACATCTGTGTACATCTTTACACTCACACAGAGGGACAGCCCTACTCTTTCTTCAGAAGCTACACTTGCCAGTACACACTTCAGCCTTCTTTCTTGACTTTGGTGACCCTCCACTGTCCTCTTTCTGAAAAGGAGCTTGGAATTTCTCAGCTGAGCTGGACTGGATGAAAATCTTCCACCTCCACCTCCCAGCTCCTTCCCCTAGTCTCTCCCTCCCTGCTCGGCAAGATTGGGAAGCTGCAAACCCAACCCTTACATCAAAAAGGAACTTGAAAAATACTTGGAGCAAAAACTGCTAACTGTGCATCCTTGTTCCATGCTGGTGCTGATATTAAATCAGGAAATGGCACTGAACAGCCGCTCCAAACACAGAAACAGGGGTTGTCAACACAGAAACCAAAAGCAATCTCTAAGAGGCAGAGGTGAAAGGGACCTGGCATGAGGCCGAGCTGGGGGCTGAAACCCAGGAAAGGGTTCCTAAGCGCCACATGTCTGTGCCATCTCTCCAGCATTCAGAATAAATTCAGTTTCTGGTATTGAGAGATGAAAGAGAATTAAGCATGATACTTAAATACCTTTGGGATTCTCTTCTTTATTTCCATAAATATTTATTAAGCACCTACTATGTATCTGGCAAAGAACCAAAAAAGATGTCAGCTCATAGAGAGATGATCTTCTGGTCCTTAGAATAGAGCTCCACCTCTTTGACATGATACTCAGGGACTCTCACGTGTTGGCTCTTACGAAAGCCTGCATTTTATTTCCAGGTTCCCCAAAGTGTCCCAGGCAACACACGAACTATCTTTGTGCAGAGTCTTTCTCAGTGTCTGTTCAGCAGGTCTTCTGGCATTTGTATTTGAAATATTGCTGTTTAATCTTCAAACCTTCATCAAGTATCATCTCTTCTCTGCAATCTTATCTGCATATCTTTTGATCCAGTAATTCCTTCTTTTTTTTTTTCTTTGTAGAGAAATGTTCACACAGAGGCTAAAAGAAGCATGTAAAATGCTGTTAGTGGGAACATTACTGCAGTAATGAAGATTGGAAATGGCTTAACTGCCCATCAATATGGGACTGGATTTTAAAAAGTCCATTTATTGTGTGGAATGCTGTGCTTTAGTTAGAAAGGAAGAAATAGCGCTTGGAAGGTTGAGGCAGGAAGACGGTGAGTTTAGCTAGCCTGGGCTACATAGTGAGATATTGTCTCAAAAAAAAAACAAAAAAGAAAAAAATGAATCAACAAAGAAAGAAAGGAAAGAAGGAAAGAAGAAAGGAAGGGAAGAAGACCTAGATCTTTTTACACAGAAGTTGCTGAGCAAAAATTAAAAGCATGCCGTGGCTCCAGACATAGCTGTTAAAAACTATACGGTTGCATTTTTCCAGTGAGAACGTGGTCTTGTGTGCCTTGTACACTTCATTTTACAAAGAAGATGGGACAAAGAAAACTGAGTGACCACGGGAGCTTCTGACTGACCTGGCCTGGGTTTGGGCATAGCGGACAGCATTGTTCCCTCTGTCTGTTGCAGGCTGCAGATACCAGAGCAGTCACAGAAGATGACCTGCTTTCTCTGTACCTCGAGATTTGTCCCCCAAGGTGTGATGGGTTGGGGAGCTGAGATGCTGGGTCCTGAAGAGCATCTAGACAAAGGAGGAGGAAGACAAGAAGGCCAGGGTGGCTGCAGGACTCAGCCCATGCAGCTTCCCTGAACTGTCGTTAGTTCTGGGAGGAAGGAGTGTAGCCTGGTGCAGGGATGGTTACTGAGGACGAAGACTGGAGGGCCCTGGAGGACATGCGGGAAGGGCTTGAGGGTTCCGAGATGGCACGCAGCAAGGCACGCTCTGTGTTTGCCTGGCGGATCATCTCCTGCATTCCTTCACTCATTCTGACGCTGTAGTTGAATTCCTCACATGTCGCATTGCACTGTGTGCTGGGCACACAGAGACCTTCCAGGAGCCATTGGGTCCCATGCGGGAGAATTACCTAGGAAACTTGTTAAAATGTGAATTTTTGGGGTCTACTCAGTCCAAAGGCCATGCTGAGGAGTCTGGTTCTTGTCTGAATAACAGAGGAATTTCTATGTAAGCCAGGGAGTGAAGGGCGTAGGTAGAATTATCAGAGTCATAGATGCATGTAACGTGAAGCCAGGCCTCACTTCTCTGTGGAGCAGCAGAGAATTCGGAGCTGGAGCCTCTGTGGCTGAGCGTAGCCTAAGTGAATGTGAGGGCAGCAGGGGGAAGCCAGTGAGATCTTGAGGTGGAGGGAGAGGTGGGTGATGGTTGGGGCTCTGGGAGGTGACAGCTTTCACCCTGGAACCATAGTGAGGTATCAGAGTGTCCAACACTGGCTGGGAGTTGGTGGGGGTGTCCTATGCCTCCCTGCACGGAGGCTGTGAGTGGCACTCAGCTGCTCTTTCTTCTCTTCCTTCTCCTTCTCTTTTTCCTCCCTCTCTTTCTCTTTTCTGGTATTTAAGAGATCGATGCATTGGGGGAAAAGGGCAAACTCAAGCCAAAGGCAGGACCAAGACTTGGAGTCAAATTTGGCACCTGGCTGCGGGGTAGGGTAAGGGACATCCCAGGGTTGAGGACTCTGTGATATTTCTGCTCTTTTTACTTTTTATTTTTTTGACAGAGTCTTGCTGTGTAATTCAGGCTGGTCTTAAAGTTACTACGTAGCCCAGGCTGGCCTTCAATTCAGTGATCCTCCTGCTTCAGCCTCCTGAGTGCTGGGATTACAAGCCTGTACCACCCCACCTGGCATTTCTCTCCTTTTGCTTGTATCTCTACCTTGTTTTCTCACCAGCCCTCACAGTCAGAGAAATAGAAAGGGCAGGAGGAAGGAACCGAAGGGAAAGTGTGACCATTAGCACATACATGCTGCTCTGAGCAGAGACTCTGCACTTGGTTGAGACTTAGCATTGACCTGGACAGAATCACTAATCCCATGGAGGGCTGGGAATCCTGCCATAGATACAATGGTGAAGAAATGTGCTGACATTTGGATTTCCAGGCTGCTACCCAGTCAAGATGAAGACCTCACACTTCACAGTGTTCAGAGCCTTTGACTTGGGGCCCTAAGTTCCAGCTCATCACTTCTGGATAACTTCAAACAAATCATCTACCAGACTTCATTGAAATGGGGATAATCCTACTACTCACCTCTGAGGGCAGCTGCAAGGACTGAGTGAATTGATGTGCACAAAACTTTTAAGGATACTGCTGCTGTACATTTGTATGTACCTGCCTGCTGGTCTCTGTAAAAGAGACATAATAATAATTACTGCCCCTTAGAGTTGAATGACAAAGTGAAAAATAAAAGTTTTTGCAACTTGCTATACAAACAGGAGTGACTATCAGTGTGGACTATCCCATCGATAATATTTCCTAGTTATGTAGTGCAATGTTATTCAACAGAAATAGAATGTGAACCATACATGTAATCTAAATTTTCTAGCAATTGTATTAAAATGAAGTAAAAAGAAACAGGTGTAATGCTTCTAACAAAAAATTCCCACTTCTCAGCCAGTGTGCATGTGGCATTCGTGTGTGTGTGTGTGTGTGTGTGTGTGTGTGTGTGTGTAGGGGGTTCCTGGTCCCCCAGGGGGGCAGCCAGTGAGGGATTCTGCAGGCTCAGAGTGTCTTTGGCTTCCTACTGAGATCTACTGAGTCCCTTGGCTGCCCAAGGATTACCAGGACTCAGCCCTCCAAGTGTAACCTTTTTGGACATTCTGTGTCTCAATCTGATAGATTTTTCATGGGCTGAGGGAAAGTGGAAGTGATGTTGCCTTTGGGAAGGAGGAGGAGGAAGGGCAGGAAAACCTCTGGAGGTTCCCAGGGGTGGAAGTAGCAGAACAGCTTCCTGTTGAGCTTTGGAAAAGACAGCAGAGACCTCAGGCTTCTTGGAGGACACAGGTGATGCTCAATGTAGGTAATGAGAATAGCATGCAGGCTCCCAGAAGGGGGTCCTGCCCCCTGATGCAGGACCTTCCCTAGAAGAACTCAGCCTTCCCTAGAAGGACTCGCAGTATCACTGGCCACTCTTAGTGACCCACAGTAATAGGACCTGGCAACCCACTGGTCTCTCAGGCCAGGAAGCTCTGGCTCCCCAGATAACAACAGCACAGGCACACACAGCTCTCTTGTAGGTCTCCAAATGAACTGGCCCCTTGTAGGCACAGAGAGGCTCCCAAGCAGCCCTCAGGAGACCCCTGGGAGAAACCAAGCATCTTCTGGGCACAGGCAGGGATGTGAGAGCTTGACTGTAGCAGGGGGGCCCCCAGGTGGGCCAGCAGCACTCCTGCTTATCCCATTGGCTCAGTAGATGCAGGTAGAGGCAGCCCAAGCTCTGGCTTGTCAATCACTGCTGCTCGAATGACTTCTCCAGGCTCCACCCCAGGTGGCCCAGGCTTGGAGGCTGCAGGGGGCCCTTGCCTGGCCTTTTGTAATCAAAGTTTCCTAAATTGACCTTTCTGGATGAATAGCCCTAGTCACCCTGAGGTGGGTAAGGAAAGGTTGTTGCTAGGGGGTGAAAACTCGAAATCAGAGATTTGGCAGCTGTCAGTAAAGTGGCGCTGGCCCCCTCCACCCCTCAGCTCTCCTTCAACAAGGCTGGGGACTCACTGCACCTTATCTCCTGTCTCCTTCCAGTAGGACGCAGGATAAGCTCCCCACTCTCGCTTGTCCCATCACCCCTTCTCTTTTTCTTCCAGCGCACCTTGAACTCGCAGTGAGTACGCAGCGCCCCTAACCCCAACTGTCTTTGAGGGACCAGGTACCTTCCCTGAGTCTGGCGGTATATTTGGAACCCAGGGCCTGGACCGCAGCTCCAGAGCCCATTGCGCAGCGAGCAGAGAGAGCCAAAAAGCTTGCGGCAGAGCGCAGCAGACTGGGGCAAGAACTGGGGCCGCTGGGGCAGAGATGCTGCCGGCTGCCTTGCGACGGTGGCCTTTACTCCGAGCAAACTTCCAGTCTTGTCGCTCACTCGCGCCCGACGGGAGTGGATTTCTAACACTTTTGGGGGTTGGGGGATGGGTAGAAGAGGGCGTGGCCACGCTGGGACAGACTCAAAGGAACTGATTTTTTTGCGGGGGGGGGGGTGAAGGGGAGGACTATCCCTAGGGACCATCGGAGACAATCAAAGTCCAGGGGACCGCAACAGAGATAGAGGCAAGGGGACAAAGAGCAACGAGCCAGCCTAGACAAAGCGCGGGTCCTAGAGACCCCCAAATGCGGCTAGTCGCCTGCGGGAGATTTGGGTGGGACGCCAGGGCTGGGATCTCGGGGATCCCCAGGGCCTTAACGGACCACACTCCTGAGATTCAGGTCTCCTTCCTCGATGGCAAGGACCCGGGTGTGTGTGTGTGTGTGTGCACACGCGCGCTCGTGTTTGTGTGTAGTGGGGCCATGCCTGCACTTTTTGGTGCGCACACGGAGAGGGGCTACTGCGTTAAGGGCACTTTGAAGGCTGCAGATCTTTCGTGGCAGTGGCAGTGTTCTGCCTGCTGTAGATCTGTAGAGCAGGGGTTCTGAGAGAACCTGAGAGTTTGCCCGTCCCAGGGGGGCCCGAGGCCCCGGAACCCTAGTCTGTATAGGGATGTAGGGTAGCCTCAAAATGTTCTCGATTGAGCTAGGTCGGAGCGTGCGCTCGCCGCCACGCTCTAGCAACCGGACACATTGAGGGCGGTGCGTCCCCCCGGGCAGACCTTCCGCAGGGGCGGCGCAACAGAACAGCCCAGGCGCTCTCTCCCCCGGCAGCCGAATCATTTCTGTGGGGACCACGCTTCTCGAAGAGGCTGAAAAAATTCTCCAAATAGTACGGTTGCAGACTTAAATCTTTTAGTTCAAGTTTTAAGTTAAACTATATTCATTTTATTAAAATTAAGCGACTAAGATCACCTTCTACCCCAGCCTTTCGGAGAGCGCAAGATAAGAGTGTTTTCAGATTAATTGGAGTCAACTATTTTATTAACAGTTAAAAAATCAGTCTGGCTTTGTCATACAGGTGTGGCCCGCTGGTCCCCTGCGCAGTTAGGTCATGCCGGTCCCAGCAGATAGTGGCCGGGAAAACACTCACCCAGCGCACTCTCCTCCTTGCCTTTCGCAGCGCGACCCAAAGCTGGAAAACAGAAGGCGACGTGGGAGGCGGGTCAGGTCTCCGGGTCCAGCGAATTCGCGATGTATCCACTTTCGGTGCCAGGGCCGTGATCTCTAACGGTCTCTTACTTTTAGCTCTCCTGGCCCGGGGTACCGAGGGTGCGCGTGGCCGGAGTGCGCTGCCTGAAACCCTAGCGCGCTGCGCTCCCGTCTCCCAGTCTGCGCTCCAGGGAGGTTTCCCGCAGACAGCCCGGGCCGCTCGCTGTGCGCTTCCACTTTCGGCCGTTGGGCCTCTCCGGCCCAGGACCTTTCTGCCGCTAGAACAGCCGAGCCACATCCCCAAAGGGAAGGCAAGGGCAAGAAACTTTAGCGAGGCGACTAGAGCTGGTTTTCAGGCTAGTCCGAAGACGGGACTAGAGGACCTGTGCGTGGCTCTAGCGTTAACTTGACCCGGCTCCGGCTCTGGCACACACACAGCCCCCTCTCGGTGGTCTTGGGCTGGGCCGGGTAGGCCGACCTGGCTGAGTTCGAGGAGCCGTCCAAGCCTCCAGGTAAAGTGCGGGACACTTGGGGCGCCTTTGCACACAGTGACCACTTGGGGTCGCACTTTATGCCTGTTTGAGCCTGTCGGCTGCAGGCAGGCGCCGGGTTCTGCTTAATCTTTACAAAATGTTCAAACAAAAACAGGGCCCGTTCCCTAGCCTCTGAAAGCCACCGGGGCACCTTCCCGGACTGGCCTGGGCCCCAACCCGTGGAGCGCCTAAGGTTGCGTGCATCTGGCTGGGGGAAGGGATTCAGAAGCTCGGGGCCAATGGTTTCTCCTCCGCCTCGGTTGTGAGCGTTTGGGGGGTGGGGTGAATGCTGGGAGCCGCGAAGCCGCGAGTGTTATCTTGGGCTTTGCCACAGGACAGGCCAGGAGGGGAGCGACCCCTTTTGGCCCAAGAAAGGTCCCGACATTGAGAGTTGGGTCTAAACACAACTCTTGAGCCTCAACTCCTCCCTCCCGCAACACAAACACGCGCAGACCTCCTGAATCTGGCACGCACGGTTCACATTCATGCAGCCCGCAGCCGGGAGGACACAGAGCGTCGCCCACTGGGCGGGGGCGGCTGGGGAACAAAGGGCCCAGGAGGCGTCGTTCCGGCGCTCCTTCAGAGCCTCGTTAGGGGTGATACCCGCTGGGGCTGGGAGTATAAGGGGCACTGAGGGAGGAGCGCGTGCAGACGTGGTGCTGGAAGCAGCAGCTTGGCCCAGAAGTGTGGCGCGCACGGAAGGCGAGCGCGCGGGGGCTTGGACCTGGAGGGTGTGGGGGTTGGGCCAGGCCTGCCGTCCCACTCCGCTCCGGTCCTCTGCCAGTCCTCGGCGGCTCCCGGGCCGTTCCGGCCGCCAGTCAGCTGATGCGGGGGGCGGGGGAGCTGTCAGGCGCGCCCCGCCCAGCGCCGCTGGGCCTCTGGGGCCGCGCAGCCATTGGCCAGCGCGCCGGGCCGCCCGGGCCCCCACGCCCCAGTGACATCAGGAAGGCGATAAAAGGCGGCGGCCGCGTCGACTCCTGCACAGCTGCACCGCCGGGCTGCGAGCGGCTGCGAGCGAGAGAACCTTAGGGCTAGGGAGCTAGAAAGCCAGCGGCGGGCGCTCGCCCCGCGCCTCCCCTCCACCCAACCGCGCGGCTCGCTCGCCTCTCCACCCCGCCCGGTCCGGCTCGGTCCCGGTGTGGCCACAGCCCCCGAGTTCTGGGGCAACATAGGCAGCCTCAGGACTCTCCGGCGCGCCGCCGCGTCCCTAGACAAAGGCTTGGCCAGCGGCCCCGGCCCGCTGCGCCCTTAGCTCCCCGCCTCCCGGGCTCGCAGCTCTTCGCCCCCGCGCTTGGCTCTGCGCGCCTCGGCCGGCCGCAAAGTTTCCTCGGCGGCAGCGGCGGCTGAGCCTCGCGTCAGCGATGGCCGCGGAGCTGAGCATGGGGCCAGAGCTGCCCACCAGCCCGCTGGCCATGGAGTACGTCAACGACTTCGACCTGCTCAAGTTCGACGTGAAGAAGGAGCCGCTGGGGCGCGCGGAGCGTCCGGGCCGACCCTGCACGCGCCTGCAGCCGGCTGGCTCCGTGTCGTCCACACCGCTCAGCACGCCGTGTAGCTCGGTTCCTTCTTCACCCAGCTTCAGCCCGACCGAACAGAAGACCCACCTGGAGGACCTGTACTGGATGGCGAGCAACTACCAGCAGATGAACCCTGAGGCCCTCAACCTGACGCCCGAGGACGCGGTGGAGGCGCTTATCGGCGCGCACCCAGTGCCACAGCCGCTGCAGAGCTTTGACGGCTTCCGAGGCGCGCACCACCACCACCACCACCACCATCACCCTCACCCGCACCACGCGTACCCAGGCGCTGGCGTGGCCCACGAGGAGCTGGGCCCCCACGCGCACCCGCACCATCATCACCACCACCAAGCGTCGCCACCGCCGCCGTCCAGCGCCGCCAGCCCCGCGCAACAGCTGCCCACCAGCCACCCCGGGCCAAGTCCACACGCAGCGGCAGCGGCGACAGTGGCCGGTGGCGGCAACGGCAGCGTGGAGGACCGCTTCTCCGACGACCAGCTCGTGTCCATGTCAGTGCGTGAGCTGAACCGCCACCTGCGGGGCTTCACCAAGGACGAGGTGATCCGCCTGAAGCAGAAGCGGCGGACCCTGAAGAACCGGGGCTACGCCCAATCGTGCAGGTATAAACGCGTCCAGCAGAAACACCACCTGGAGAATGAGAAGACGCAGCTCATTCAGCAGGTGGAGCAGCTTAAGCAGGAGGTGTCCCGGCTGGCCCGCGAGAGAGACGCCTACAAGGTCAAGTGCGAGAAACTCGCCAACTCCGGCTTCAGGGAGGCGGGCTCCACCAGCGACAGCCCCTCCTCTCCCGAGTTCTTTCTGTGAGTCGCGGCGGGTCCCGGCCCCCGCCCTTGTCCCAGCCCGGACTCCCTGTCCCTTGTCCCCAGCCCTGGACTCCCCTGGACCCTGTCCCTGCAATGGCCCCGGCCTTGACCTGTTTGACTTAAATGAGAGGGAGGAAGGGCACGCAGGCCGCGGGTGACGGGCGGGAGCGCGGGAGGCAGGGGACTTTGGCTAAAGCGAGAGTAGCTCACGCCAGCTGCCGCCTCCTACACTCGAGCCGAGCCAGAGAGACGAGGGGGTGGGAGGTCCCGGAGCAACTTTTCTCCAGGCTGGAAGGCGGCGAGGCATGGTACCAAGGAGTCGCCAAGGCCGTCTGGCGACGCCTGGCTTTCTGAACTTTGAGAGTGCGGGCCGCTGCTCGCTGACCGGAGCTCAGTCTCCAAGAAGAGAGCAGAGGAGAGGGACCCTGGCGTCTCCGGCAGGCGCGAGGCCAGGTTGAGCAAAAGGGGATGAACAGATGGACCTGCCCGGGTCCAGAGTCCAGAGAACACTGGCTCTCAGCCGGGGAGACGCTGTCCTCGGTTAGGACGTTCCGGCGCGCAAATCTCATTCGTTTTATTGCCTGCTCGATTATATAGAAAAATACGAAAATCTGCATTAAAAATATTAATCCTGCATGCTGGACATGTATGGTAATAATTTCTATTTTGTACCATTTTCTTGTTTAACTTTAGCATGTTGTTGATCATGGATCATAACTCTTGTTTCTTTGGGTGAGAAGGGATCACAGTTGGGAAACTCCAGTGGCTGTGAGCAGGGTTTCAGCCCTGGCTGCTGGTTTGTAAATATCTGCCCCCACCAAACCAAACCACGCAGAGTACGTGGCAGCAAGCTGAGTGTCTTTCTTTGTTTGGGTTTATTATTACGACATATTTCTTTGTAAAGTTAGAAAAATAAAAAAATTTTTTAAAAAAGAAAGAGAAAGAAGTTCAGGCATTAGCATCAGATGACAACTTTATCTTGCTTGGGGCAACCTTGAAAGTTGCATGTTTTCTTCTGTCCCCGACCCTGTTATGTTCTTGTCTTTCAGTGTTAGTTTTCAGTTTTGTGGGCTTTGAAGGACAGTGTAAGGACAGGACAGCCGTTGAGTTCCACACCTCTTCCCCAGACTCTGCCTAATTTCTTGGCCAAATTGACTCCTCTAATAAGAGAGGGAAGGAAGACAGATCTCCACTGCTTTCTATTGTAACCAGAATCACCCCAGGTTTCCTTTGGAATTCTCAGGCCAGCATTAATTCCAAGGGCCTCCAGGATGCTCCTCCTCCGGAGCCATCCTTGACACTGGTCAGTGACCAGAGCTTGCACTGAACCAACTGCCACATTTAGGATGTGTCAAAAAAACCAAACATTGACAAGTAATTGCAGCTTTCAAGTGTGTTCTTTAGATCAATGCATTATGTTTCTTTCCCTGCTTTTGAGATGGCAGGAGAGCTTATTGGTGGTGTTCCTCTCCCCCTCCTTCAGTTGTATAGTAGTTATAGGGGAGATCTGGGTGTTTTTCTTTGTTATTACTTTTTTTCTGCAGGTCAGTAAAAGGATTTAAGTTGCACTGACAAAATATACCAAAAGTAAAGCATATTTTTTAGTTCCCATTGGAAATTGCTGGCGCTGCTGGCCAGATGCATTTTTGAGTTTGTATTAGTTGATAAATTAACAGTAATAACAAGATTGTATGAACCGCATGGTGCTTGCAGTTTTAAATATTGTGGATATTTGTCCTGCATCAGAAACGAGCTTTGGTTTTTATGGATTCAACTGTGTTGAAATCAAACTTACAGCAACAGAAATTGTTTTTATTTCATGTAAAATAAGGGATCAATTTCAAACCCTGCTTATGATATGAAAATATTAAAACCTAGTCTATTGTAGTTTTATTCAGACTGGTTTCTGTTTTTTGGTTATTAAAATGGTTTCCTATTTTGCTTATTAAAACATGGAAATGGTGTTTATTTAGAGGTCTCTGCGTTCGCATGACTTTGACTCTGTTTTCTTGCTTCTTCAAGAGTGGCACCAACTTTGGAGCACACCCGCCTAGTGGAAACGTAAACAAGTCCAGACACATCCACTCCACTGAGTGCATGGAGACTCCAGTGTGTTTTTATCCTAAGTCCAAACCCTGGTCAAGAGTTGGCTTGTGAGCTGAGATAGTACGGGTCTGAAAGGCACAGAAGTCCCTGGGCATGGCGTATCTCCCTTTTCCAGCACTTGCTGACTTGGTAGTCAGGGCTGGCCCGCAGGCCTGCCGGCTCTGAGCTGGTAATGGCAGAAACCAGGAAGCCAAGACTTGCTGCCCTGATGGAGAAACCAGGTCTTTTTGGTACTTAGGGCTGTCCTTGCTTTCCTGCCTGGGTTTAGGGTCTCAAGATGTGCTCCTACTCAGAACCCAGAGCCAAAATACCTGCTCTACATGGAGACCTGGCCTCCTCCCCAAGATAGGTGGAAGGAGGTGAAACCCAGCACCACATCTTGGTGTGCTCAAGCCTCTAGACAGGAAGCCCCTCCTTGACTCCTTTGGGGGGCTACTGTGTATGAGGAGTACAGGCTGCATAGACGGAGTAGCCTTTAGCCCCACAGAAAGGCTCTGCACTGGGGATCTAGTCAGGCTCCTCAAACTGAGGGTCAGAGAGGTTTAGGGCATCTTTTGGCACAGCAGTTCTTACTGCAGCCTGAAGATCCCCGACTTGGAGGAAGCCCTAGACCCTTTCTTATGCTGATTCTTCGAAGAACCATGTCCACCTAGATTGCCCCAAATTCCTCTTAGCCTCTTTGGACTCCAGTTTATAATTTAGGATTGGCCTCAGATACCCGTGGGAGGTGAAGAAGAACTGATGAACCTCAGAAGAGTTGTGCACTCTTTTGACAACGGCTGACTGTCATGATGTCTCTGTCCCCAGCCTGAGATGATCTGGCTCTGAGGGAATTTCAGAACCTGAAAGTGAGATGTAGGAGCCCCAAGCAGTGGTGCCCCATCTGAGAACCGGAGCTGGGAGGAATCTGGGAGAGGGAAGCAGAGCATGGAAATCCGGGTAGATTTTGGCCTGGATGCCTGGAGTCTGAGAGGGTAGGAGTAGGAACTGAGGTCTGGGAAAGGGTCAGATGTAAAAATAAAAATACAAATATTAATAATTTACACACATGCAGTGCTTGGCATTTAATAAGAGAGAAGCTTGGGATTCTAGTTCAAATTTAGTTCCAGAATCCAGTTTGTCTCACGACTGACAGAAAAACCTGTCTGGCAGAGAAGGCTTTGGCTGTGATCTGGAAAGAGGAAGTGTCTGAGCCTGGTTGCCGACTTTCCCCTTGTGTGCTGGAAGAAGGACTCAGAGTCTATGCTAGTTTTGTAGTTTCTTACAAAAGTTATTCTACACAGAATGTGTACAGATGCTTCCCCTGTGGGGCGAAAGAGGATTCTGTCAGGCTCAGGTGGGACATCAGAAGAAACTGCTGTGTGTGTCCGGCCAAGACCAAGGGAGAGTCACAGACTCAAGGCAGTGGAGGCCGTAAACTGGTGGCCTGACTCCTTGTGGGATCATCCCGAGCAGACTAGCATCCTCCACCTCTAGAGCCCTTTAGACTTTGTCCGAGAAAGTCTCCACGTTGAGAGGGAGAGTTGCAAACTCCAAAGCCTGGGTCTTTCTTCCCCAGGGCACAGAGAACCCAAATTCATCCAATATCAGATACTATCATCTTGCACCCAAAAGGACACGGTGGCTCAGGTCAGTTCAGAGCGACTAGCTGCGTCTTGGAGAACATAACAGTTCCACAACGCAGCCCTAGCGACACACAGATACACAGACACCCACACCCTGCACCCATACTGATGCCCTGCACCAAGCTGTCAGTCGACCACCAGCCTGCTCCGGACACGGGCGCGCAGGAGAGGCGGGCAACTCCCTGGTGGAGGCCGGGGCTTCCGGAACCTGGAGGGCGGGTTCGTAGGGCAGGCAAGCCCCGGCTGCGTCTCGACCCGCAGCCTGCCTTCGGACCCGCCAGGATGCCTTCTTCATCCAGAGCCCGCAAGTCCAGAAAAAGGGAAGTGGTTCCCGAGCGCCTCCAGCTCGGTGCGCCGCAGCGGCACTCCGCAACCTCGGCCACCTTTTCGGTTCCTGCTGCTCCGCGTGGCTCTCAGGTACCTCGCCGTGGGATCCTGGGACCCAGGGCTGGGGACGGTGTTCTCCAGGGCCAGGAGTCTTCCAAGCCGGCACCGGTCCCGCGTAGACAGGCTGGCGCCTGCATCCGGAGACGCACGCGGAGACGCACGCAGGCACCGGGACGCACTCGGGGACACGCGCGGGCTCCGAGGACGCGGCTCTGTCCCGCCGTGCCCCCTCGCTGGGCGGCCCGACGCGTTCGAGTTGGGTGCGGAAGACCTCTTACCGCTACCCCGTGTCTCACGGGTGCTGGAGACCTGGGTCCGCAGTCCTAGCGGCAGCCACCGCCTTCGCGAGGGGCGTCGGGGCAGGCGCTGGGGCGGCGTCCGGAAGCCGGGGATTCGCACAGCCTCGGCGACGGTCAGCCCTCCCCGAGCCTCCTGCAGGCAAGCTCGGCCGTCTCCACCGCAGCCTGCGGCCGACCACCGCGACCGCCCACCGGCCCGCGCTCACACGTCCAGGAAAAGAGAAGTGGGTCCCGAGGACGCTTGCCTTTTCTGTTTCCGTTTCGTTCTTTCATCCTTCCTTCCTTCTTCATTTTTCTCTTCCCTTCCCTTCCTCCTTCTTTCTTTCCTTTCTCCCTTCCTCCCCTTTCTTTCTTGCTTTCTTTCTCCCGTTCTTTTTCCTTCCTCCTTCTCTCTCCCTCTTCCTTCCTTCCCTCCTTTCCTTCCTTCCTTTTCCATTCCCTTTCTTCTCATCCTCCCCTTCACCGTTCCCTACTCTTTTAGCCCTTCTTTCCTAACCTCTTGTTTCAGAAAAGTTTCTCCTGTTTTCTCTTCAGCCTTTTATGTGGGGCTCCCTGGTGGGGAAGGGCTACAGTGCAGGTCCTGAAGAGGGAGCAGGGAAGAGGAGGAGGATGGCAGAGGTCTGCAGTCCCTGTAGCCACCTAAGCTTGGGTGGTGGCAGCTAATTTGGACCCTTGCCGGGCCTGTTTCAGCTCTCCAGCGTTTTCCTTTGTTCCCCGGGCCGGCATCAGGGTTGGCAGGTGGCCAGCAGGGAGCAGTGTCCTGATAGCCAGCAAGAGGCACCTCTGTGATGGGATCCCTGGGAAGCTCAGGCTGGCTATGGCCCCTGAGCCCTCTGTCAGTCTCAGGCAGGCTTCCCACATTCCCTGATCTCTGGGCATTGTGTGGCAGGACAATCCTCTGCTTACTAGAGGGCACTCACTTCCCACCTACCATGCCCGTACTTGCCCAGGGACACTCTTGGTGGTGGCTGCCAAGAATCATACCAGATATACCAGGCTGGTCCCTTGGCTTCCACTGAGACCTGGAGTTATAGTGCCTGCCCCCCAAGCCAACCCCTTACTCCTCACTCTCTAGTCCCTAGCCCCTGGCCCAGCTCCTCCAAGAGTCTGGAGACCTCAGGCTTAGCATTTCTAGTCTTTCCCATGCAGGCTTTCAGATGCAAAACTTGCATTTTAGGCCTTTCCATATCCTGAAAGGAAAACTGAGGGCTGACAGCGGCCAGTAACTGCAGCCCTTTCCTCTGCAGCCTGCAGACTCAAAGCGCGGCCTTTTGTCCCAGGGATAGTTGTGTTTAGATTTGTTATGTAAGGAATCCTTTTGCCCTCACTAAAAGTCTTCAAATGGCGCATCGTGTAGGCAGCAATATTTCCAATAGTGGCTCTTGGGAAAGAAATCAGTCTGTCTGGAAGAGCTTCTTCAGGCTGGTGCCTAGCAGGGCACGTTAGGCTGACAGCCCAGCTGCAGTGAAGTGAGGGTGCTGGGTTCAGAGTGTACCTGGCCAGCCAAAGCAGTTACCTCTGGGCTTCTGACACTGGGGTTTTCCTGGCTCAAGAAACCTAGACTCTTTTTGCAAAGGAAGCAACTGCTGCAGAATCTCATCCTTTCTGCAGTTCTGTGCTGGGAGCAGGTGTCCAGGCCACGGGAAGCACATTTTTTTTTTTTTTAGCATAGAAGTACCTATTCTCTAAGCCCCCCATATCTCCTCATCCAGTTTGCTCCCTCCAAACACCATTGAATCTGCTCCTTAGTCTGCTTGACTCTTCTCTTCCTTGTCCTATGTATGTTATCTTAAATGATGCATTTACATAAGAAGATCAAAGCTAATGTTCTCACTTGGAGGGAATTAAATATATGAGAAATATTGCTGCTCCAATACAGGGAAACCACCTAAATTAATAATGAGGATTTGTTTCAAGCAACTCAGTTTTTGTGGGCTCTCTGCATTCTTTGCATGTAACCATTTCTTTCGTGTAGAAAAACAGCAGCCACTCATTCTGTATTCTGCTTTAGTTGTATCAAAAGGGAATGCTGTTTTGTGCGGTGCAGGGCTGTGGGAGGAGTTTTGGAATTTTCTGGAAGGAATCAGCCAGTTTTAGCATAAGAGACATAAAGAACATAGATTCAACATTATATCATTGGTGTGTTTCCCCTTTTGGATCTTTGTGGATTTTACCAGGGTTAGACTTCTTTCAGCAGATGATGAGGGAGGGAGGGTAGATCGACTCATCCAGGATCTGGAGTCTGACGGAGGCACCGATCCTGGCCTATGACTCCATTAAACCCAGAAGCTGAGGCTGCCCTTGGCCACTCTCAAGTTTCCTGTTTCTTCTGATCTGTCACCTTTGCTGCCCTGTTGCTGCCACTGTTACAGGCCCAGGAAGTTTACTTGGGAGAGGACATGGCCCTGGGCTGGGCTGGCCTGGAGTCAGCTCTGCCTTTCCTGCCTGGGCAGAGATGTGCCGTGTGTCCCAGGGCAGGGCTTGGCCTTTGCTCTCCTCTGTGTCCTGGCATCCAGAGCCGGAACACAGGCCCCTTTCCACAGACAGGGCA